TCTATCTCCTGTCTGTCTGTATCTATCTCTGTCTCTATCTCACAGGAACACATACGTAAATACAATTACAGTGGACCCCCGGTTTACGATCAGCTCCCAATGCGACCACTTATGTAAGTGTATATATGTAAGTGCGTTTGTATGTGTATGTTTGGGGGTCTGAAATGGACTAATCTAATTCACAATATTCCTTATGGGAACAAATTCGGTCAGTACTGGCACCTGAACATACTTCTGGAATGAAATAATATCGTAAACTGGGGGTCCACTGTAATTCTACATAGTGTAATTACCTAGGATAACCCAAAAAATCCAGACAAAGTGCTATACTGTGCTTGTAGACAGTGATTGTGTGTAATACCAGATGGTTCATGAGCAACTCTGAGACAGACAGACAGACAGACATGTTTGTGTAAGAGTGAAAACAAATAAAGCAAAAGGCTCATCAAAGGCTCACCACTGTCATTAACGGAGAGATAAGGTAAGGTGATGCTCATCAAATGTCACCACTGTCATTAGCGGAGAGATAAGATTAGATAAGACAGTGCTCATCATTGTCAGCAGTGGAGTGAAGAGATAAGTGACACACACATCAAGCTTCAAGGGAAATTATTATTATTATTTTTTTTTTTTTTTTTTTTTTTTTTTCAACAAGTCGGCCGTCTCCCACCGAGGCAGGGTGACCCAAAAAAGAAAGAAAATCCCCAAAAAGAAAATACTTTCATCATCATTCAACACTTTCACCACACTCGCACATTATCACTGCTTTTGCAGAGGTGCTCAGAATACAACAGTCTAGAAGCATACACATATAAAGATACACAACATATCCCTCCAAACTGCCAATATCCCAAACCCCTCCTTTAAAGTGCAGGCATTGTACTTCCCATTTCCAGGACTCAAGTCCGACTATATGAAAATAAACCGGTTTCCCTGAATCCCTTCACTAAATATTACCCTGCTCACACTCCAACAGATCGTCAGGTCCCAAGTACCATTCGTCTCCATTCACTCCTATCTAACACGCTCACGCACGCTTGCTGGAAGTCCAAGCCCCTTACCCACAAAACCTCCTTTACCCCCTCTCTCCAACCCTTTCGAGGACGACCCCTACCCCGCCTTCCTTCCCCTATAGATTTATATGCTTTCCATGTCATTCTACTTTGATCCATTCTCTCTAAATGACCAAACCACCTCAACAACCCCTCTTCTGCCCTCTGACTAATACTTTTATTAACTCCACACCTTCTCCTAATTTCCACACTCCGAATTTTCTGCATAATATTTACACCACACATTGCCCTTAAACAGGACATCTCCACTGCCTCTAACCGTCTCCTCGCTGCTGCATTTACCACCCAAGCTTCACACCCATATAAGAGTGTTGGTGCTACTATACTTTCATACATTCCCTTCTTTGCCTCCATAGATAACGTTTTTTGACTCCACATATACCTCAACGCACCACTCACCTTTTTTCCCTCATCAATTCTATGATTAACCTCATCCTTCATAAATCCATCCGCCGACACGTCAACTCCCAAGTATCTGAAAACATTCACTTCTTCCATACTCCTCCTCCCCAATTTGATATCCAATTTTTCTTTATCTAAATCATTTGACACCCTCATCACCTTACTCTTTTCTATGTTCACTTTCAACTTTCTACCTTTACACACATTCCCAAACTCATCCACTAACCTTTGCAATTTTTCTTTAGAATCTCCCATAAGCACAGTATCATCAGCAAAAAGTAACTGTGTCAATTCCCATTTTGAATTTGATTCCCCATAATTTAATCCCACCCCTCTCCCAAACACCCTAGCATTTACTTCCTTAACAACCCCATCTATAAATATATTAAACAACCATGGTGACATTACACATCCCTGTCTAAGACCTACTTTTACCGGGAAGTATTCTCCCTCTCTTCTACACACCCTAACCTGAGCCTCACTATCCTCATAAAAACTCTTTACAGCATTTAATAACTTACCACCTATTCCATATACTTGCAACATCTGCCACATTGCTCCTCTATCCACTCTATCATATGCCTTTTCTAAATCCATAAATGCAATAAAAACTTCCCTATCTTTATCTAAATACTGTTCACATATATGCTTCAATGTAAACACCTGATCTACACATCCCCTACCCACTCTAAAACCTCCTTGCTCATCCGCAATCCTACATTCTGTCTTACCTCTAATTCTTTCAATTATAACCCTACCGTACACTTTTCCTGGTATACTCAGTAAGCTTATTCCTCTATAATTTTTTACAGTCTCTTTTGTCCCTTTCCCTTTATATAAAGGGACTATACATGCTCTCTGCCAATCCCTAGGTACCTTCCCCTCTTTCATACATTTATTAAACAAAAGTACCAACCACTCCAACACTATATCCCCCCTGCTTTTAACATTTCTGTCATAATCCCATCAGTTCCAGCTGCTTTACCCCTTTCATTTTACGTAATGCCTCACGTACCTCCCCCACACTTACATTCTGCTCTTCTTCACTCCTAAAAGTGGTATACCTCCCTGACCAGTGCATGAAATTACTGCCTCTGTTTCTTCATTAACATTTAAAAGTTCCTCAAAATATTCTCGCCATCTACCCAATACCTCCATCTCCCCATCTACTAACTCCCCTACTCTGTTTTTAACTGACAAATCCATATTTTCCCTAGGCTTTCTTAACTTGTTTAACTCACTCCAAAATTTTTTCTTATTTTCATTAAAATTTCTTGACAGTGCCTCTCCCACTCTATCATCTGCTCTCCTTTTGCACTCTCTCACCACTCTCTTTACCTTTCTTTTACTCTCCATATACTCTGCTCTTCTTATAACACTTCTGCTTTGTAAAAACCTCTCATAAGCTACCTTTTTCTCTTTTATCACACCCTTTACTTCATCATTCCACCAATCACTCCTCTTTCCTCCTGCCCCCACCCTCCTATAACCACAAACTTCTGCCCCACATTCTAATACTGCATTTTTAAAACTATTCCAACCCTCTTCAACCCCCCCACTACTCATCTTTGCACTAGCCCACCTTTCTGCCAATAGTCGCTTATATCTCACCCGAACTTCCTCCTCCCTTAGTTTATACACTTTCACCTCCCTCTTACTTGTTGTTGCCACCTTCCTCTTTTCCCATCTACCTCTTACTCTAACTGTAGCTACAACTAAATAATGATCCGATATATCAGTTGCCCCTCTATAAACATGTACATCCTGGAGCCTACCCATCAACCTTTTATCCACCAATACATAATCTAATAAACTACTTTCATTACGTGCTACATCATACCTTGTATATTTATTTATCCTCTTTTTCATAAAATATGTATTACTTATTACCAAATTTCTTTCTACACATAGCTCAATTAAAGGCTCCCCATTTACATTTACCCCTGGCACCCCAAATTTACCTACTACTCCTTCCATAACATTTTTACCCACTTTAGCATTGAAATCCCCAACCACCATTACTCTCACACTTGATTCAAAACTCCCCACGCATTCACTCAACATTTCCCAAAATCTCTCTCTCTCCTCTACACTTCTCTCTTCTCCAGGTGCATACACGCTTATTATAACCCACTTTTCACATCCAATCTTTATTTTACTCCACATAATCCTTGAATTAATACATTTATAGTCCCTCTTTTCCTGCCATAGCTTATCCTTCAACATTATTGCTACTCCTTCTTAAGCTCTAACTCTATTTGAAACCCCTGACCTAATCCCATTTATTCCTCTCCACTGAAACTCTCCCACCCCCTTCAGCTTTGTTTCACTTAAAGCCAGGACATCCAGCTTCTTCTCATTCATAACATCCACAATCATCTCTTTCTTATCATCTGCACAACATCCACGCACATTCAGACTTCCCACTTTGACAATTTTCTTCTTCTTATTCTTTTTAGTAATCTTTACAGGAAAAGGGGTTACTAGCCCATTGTTCCCGGCATTTTAGTTGACTTTTACAACACGCATGGCTTACGGAGGAAAGATTCTTATTCCACTTCCCCATGGATATAAAAGGAAAATTAATAAGACCAAGAACTATTAAGATAAAATCAAAGAAAACTCAGATGAGTGTGTATAAATAAATGTGTACATGTATGTGTAGTGTGACCTAAGTGTAAGTAGAAGTAGCAAGACGTACCTGTAATCTTGCATATTTATGAGACAGACAAAAGACATCAGCAATCCTACCATCATGTAAAACAATCACAGGCTTCGTTTTACACTCACCTGGCAGGACGGTAGTACCTCCCTGGGCGGTTGCTGTCTACCAACCATCATCATATACTCCAGTATATCCAAAACATTGCGGGAACTTATAAATACTATGTATATATTTCTAGACAATATGTGACTAAGGTAGGTAAAAATGTTGACCTGTCACTGTGTGTGTGACTATTTGAGCACTATTTCAGTGCCTAATATTAGTATCAGAACAAAGATTAACTGTGAAATCACAAGAACTGCTACAAATTGTCATTATCGGAACATAAAAATTATACAAATTAAAAAAAAAAAGATAAGGTATATCGGCAACAAATCTGCAAGTGGCAGTGCTTCATGTTGCCGTCAGCTGAGTGACAAGTGCCGACTTTGCAGCCTTATATCTCTGTAAGTACTGACTCTAGAATTTTTTTTTTACATTATGTAAAAAAATGTCCTCTTCATTAAAAAAAAAAAATACAGATTTTTTATTTTTCAAAATATTCGGAGCGCTGGGTGAGAGAATGTAGATCTACATTTGGAGAGTTAAGGGGTTAAAAAAAAAAATTGTAAAAAATCATGATAAACCAAGAAATGCCCCAGTGAAGTAACAGGCATCAGGGTTAAAGGATTCAAGCAATGGAGGAAGAGTACTTGCCTTCTGGGGGTTGAGGGAGAAGCTATCTAACATCATAATGAGGTTAATCCCTGGGAAGGAACAAGGCATCATAAATGTAGAACACTTTTTCTCCTTTTCCACAGTAAAGAGATTGAATCAGCTCTTCATATTGGTGCCGAGGGACAGGCATTGGTGGGCTACAGTCATCTTTTGGAAACAGCAAAAGGAGTACAAGGCTCTCGCTGTTTGAATCTTGTAGCTTTTGTCACCAACACACTTCTCTACTGGCATCAAGTGTGCACCCACAGGTTCACCAGGTATATTCATTTTATAATATTAATATAGATGATGTGTACTGTTCTTGTAGAAAACTTCATAGTGATTGCTACTGCAGCTTGATGCCTATTGTGAACAAATATTGTGACAAATATTTGAACAATAAGTATTTTCTTTTTGGGGATTTTCTTTCTTTTTTGGGTCACCCTGCCTCGGTGGGAGACGGCCGACTTGTTAAAAAAAAAAAAAATACGGTGGAACCTCGGGTTTCATGATTAATTCATTTCAGAAAGTCTGACGAAAACTGAATTGTACGAAAACTGAAGCAATATTTCCTATAAGAAATGATGTAAATCCAATTAATCCCTTCCAGACACCCAAAAATATTAACAAAAAACAATGAGAAATAAACATAAATGATTAATGAAATGGATAAATGAACATTTAACATCACTTTTACCTTTATTGAAAAGACTTGTTGGCGTATGGAAGATGGCGAGGAGGAGAGGTTATTGTTTGGAAGGGGAATCCTCCTCCATAGGGACTTCAGGTATCAAGGCCCTATCTGGGGTTACTTCCCCTTTTTGTCTTTTACTGGCACTAGGACTATTGCAACCCAGGAGTCCCAAAGGCCTGTTATCCTGGGTGTAAAGGGAGCAAAATAAACACAGCAGAAAAACTTTTGACTTGTATTATCCTTCAACAATTTAGAACAGAAGTATGTACACTATATACACTTTGTACAACAATAGGTATTAGTGCACTCCACGGTAAGCAAGGCAGAATAGAAGCCACTAGAGAGCAGACCGTGCTGCAACCAGCTCTAGAATGGGAATGACAAGGGCAGACAGGTGAGTAGTACCCACAACACCTCTGCGATTGCCAAAACCATCTTCTCATTGGCTGGAACCTGGGTACTGGTTGAATGACGGGGCCCCATCATCAACCCTTAGTACCTGGTTCGCTGGTTGGGGGAGATAGCCTTTCAATGAGGGTGTGTACATGTGCCGAATAAAGGTTACGTACTCTTTGCATGCCACAAGGACCAGCTTGAGTCACTGGACCCCTGTTGCGCAAAAATATCTGTCCAGAGAGGTCAGTTTCTGGCGTCTCTTTAAGATTTGTTTAAAATGGGACAAGGCATTGTCATTGAACATTGATGCAGACTTCCCATACATCCTGGCGAGATCATCGGAAACGTGTACACAACTTTCATATTTTGCTAAGAGTTCTTTCTTGAATTCTATCATGTTTCTTGCCTTCTTTATCAGAGGGCTGGCACTCAGAACTTTCTTTGGCCCCATGGTGGCTTATTTAGCACTCACACTCAATAAACAAGAACAAAAAACAATGGATTATTATGAAATGTTTTGGACGAACGCGTGGGGTAATGCTCACTCAATGAGAAACAAAACCAGACTTAGAATGCGCGAGATGCTTTGTGTGGGCGCAGGCAGGCGGACGCATTTGGTACGGCGGACCATTATCAACTCTATGAAAACTGAGTGGATGTACAAAAACTGGGATAAAATTTTAACGAAAAAAGTCATCGAAAACTGAATCCTACGAAAACCAGGGCATACAAAAGCTGAGGTTCCGTTGTGCATAGTAAATGGTACCAGAGATATGGATATCATTGCAGAATCTGAAAAATGCTGTTTTAATCATCCAAAGTAAAATAACATTCTTATTTATATAATAAAGATTGTGCAGAAGTATACGAGGATTGCCATAGTTAGTATGATAGAAAATGTTAAAAGAATTTGTAAACAAAGACTAGTCTTTCAAAGGGGCTATATGTGACACCCTGACTCATGACTGTTTGATCTTTACTTCTTTTATTTATAGTATTTTTGTGGTTAGACTTTGAAAAAAAATAATTCTAGTGTATGCAGTTGGTTCCCAGGATTGAAATCTCCCAATTATAACCTTGTACTGAAGGAAAATAATAGCTTAAATTATGACTAACAATGGCTTTCATGGAACCAATAAGGTTGCAAGTGCAGAAGTCATCATTATCCTCTTTGAAATTTAGTTATGAATTTGAAAATATATTACACAGTGTTACCATGTGGTGCTACAATGTGAAAACAGTAAACCCTCTACATAAAACTAAGTGGGTGGAGTAGGTGATTGTTAGTGCCTAGATAGAGAGGAGATTATCTTGCTGTGATTGTAACAAGAGAAAATTCTGTAACTAATGCATTGTCCATTGTTTCCAAATTACCTGACCCAGTAGAGTTTGTTCCATATTTCTAAAGTCTGTTATGTGGAGGGTTTACTGTCTGTTGAATATCCATTTTTATTTTAATATTTGTAATAAATTTATTTCTAAATCTACTATGAATATGGCTATTGTAAATTTTTTGCTCTTTAAATATTTTCATATTTTAGGTTACAATAATACTTTCACAAGAGGAATCTACTATTTATATACCTATTTATACATTATATACATTAATATTAGTTACCCTATTTTATGGTGTCAAAGGTGCTATTTTTTCCCCAAAGGTCGAAAATTTACCCAACATCTTAGAGGCCTAAGTACAGTTTATCCTTTTTTTTTTTTTTTTTTTTTTAAATTTAGCCAAGCAGGATTGGGTGGGGGGGAGGGGCATTCCTGACACTGAGGTGTCTTGTTCACTGTAAAATATAGTAATTGATTTTTTTGTATACTGTTAACATGATGTGAAAGTTGATGCTAGGTATAGTCAGTGCTCTCATAAAACAGGTATTGAAGTACATGCTAGAAAGTGTTATCTACAGTATATATATTGAGGATACTTGTGTCTTCTATGTTTACTGCATGTGAAACCTTTCACATAAAATAATTTAAATTTATTTCTATCAGTCAGTATTTTGTTTTAAACTGAATCTCATTAAAGACTCATACTTTCAGTATGATGTATGATGGAGAAGGATTTTGTGACAGGTTCTTACATCATATCTTGTTGCACCCCCTGAAAGGGACACAATGGATATAATGTATGTTTGATGTATATTATTTTTCATACAATTTTATATTTCTGATATTTTCATTAAAAGCTAAAATGAGAAGATCTTCCTTTATACTATTACAGTGGAACCTCGGCTTACGAATTTAATCCGTTCTGTGACCTTGTTCGTAACCTGATTTGTTGGTATACTGAGTCAATTTTCCTCATTTAAATTAATTGAAATGCAATTAACCCTTAAACTGTCCAAACATAGAGCTATTTTGACGTGCGTAGCACTCCGACCTTGATTTTCTCCATTTGAAAGCATGTAAAATCGGACGTAGATCTACGTTCTGAGCACTACACACGTCAACATAGATCTACGTTTGGACAGTTTAAGGGTTAATCCATTCCAGCCTCTCACTTGGCATGACAAAATAATGCTAATATCAACTTAGTTATTAATCCCAATTCATCTAATATGACATAATAAGCAACATTAATAACATAGAAACATGATACATACTCTAGAATCAATAAAATAGGCCATAATATGCCAAGTGATGGCTACGCCGACAGCAGCAGAAAGCATCTGCCGTTTACTCTCCCACTCTAGTATCTTCCCAGTCCATAACCCAACACCTAGCTTGTATTTATCTATGATTAGTGGTGAGGTCACATATGTAACCACAGGTGTGGTCAAGACAGATGTATATATAGGTGAAGACATGATCACTGTGGCCACAGTGGTGGTGGCAGTGGTGGCAGTCACAGTGGTGACGACGACCAGCTGCTTCGCTCTATGCTGTTTCCTTCTTCGTTTCTCTAGGTTTTTTCATAGTTTTTAATTGCTTCCTGAGCTTCTTGCTGATTGTACGTGAATACTGTCTCTTTGGGTGAGGCATTGTGAAAGAAATTTGTACATATCTTCCACCACTCTAAACCTCTGCCAGCATCTCCTCCATCAAACTAATTAAACTAACATCTCCTCCAAGGTAAGTGTAAATATAAAAGGACCCCAATGGAAATACGTAAGTCACTCTGACTATTTTGGGTTATCTTAGGTACTTTACACACATGCTGCTATGTATGATAATCTAGGTACGTAACTGTATTTGTGTATAGCTGAATAAACTTACTTATTTATAAATTAAAATGTAAATATTTCTTATTTATAAATTAAAATGTAAATATTTCTTATTTATAAATTACATTCATATATTGTTTGTGGAAAGTGGTGGTGGCAGAAGCCTCCACCACCAGTGGCCATTATAAACCCAACAACAACACTTCCATCACTTATCCTCACATACATTGACATATTTTATTCATTCTAGAGTATATATCATGTTTCTATGTTATTAATATTGTTTATTATGTCATATTAGATGAATTGTGTATAAATAAGCTGTAGAGTTGATAATAGCATCATATTGAAGTACTATTCTGTCAAACCTCCTGACAGCAGGAACGGATTAATTGGACTTCCATTATTTCTTATAGGGAAAATTAATTCGGCTAACAATAAAATTGGTTAAGGATAAGCTCTCTGGAACAGATTAAAATCGTTACCCGAGGGTCCACTGTATTTGACTTAGCTATGTCACTAAGTAAGATGTAACATTCACACTTCACTGTGCTCACGGTTCGAGAGTTATGGATGGCTGTCTGCATTAGTAAACTGCTTAGCTAACTGTCAGTTTGCTTGTTTACCTGCCAGCATCTCTGCAGTACCAGGGGCGAGTTACAATGGTATCACCTGATGTGAGGCCTGTAGTTGACAAATCGCACTCTCCCTAGCTGGTCATCGCTCGACAAGCACCATGCTCTCCATCTGCTTCTAGTGCTGGAAGCCTCGTTCTTGTCTCTGTTTGTTATTTAGACTGTTCTGGTGGAGTACGATTTTGTTGGCGAGTCGAAACATACATCTTGTAACTCTAACTGTTAACAAATCATTGTTCAGACTTAGTGATTTTTGACGTTTTTCTGAGGTTGTGTCATACCAGCACTCGAAGTCAACCCAGGTCCCAGGCTAAAGCTTCTGACCCATTTTCTGTGGTGTCTGAGTACCGTCATAGTCGGGGATTTGGTTATGCTGAACTTAGATTGAGTATTAACCCTTTCAGGGTCCATGTAGATCTAAGGCTTTACGTTGAGGGTCCAAACCATAGATCTACGCCATGAATTCAGCTCACTCTGATAAACTGTGAGCGGTAAATTTGGGCCTAGATATGAGAGAATACATCTATTTGGTATGTGTGCACCACATAAAAAAATCCTGCAGCACACAGTGCATAATGAGAGAAAAACTGAGACCTTAATTTTCGATTAAAACAGCAAATTTGCAGTGTTTTTTCATATGTTTTTTATATGTAGTTGTATTTGTGATTTCTTGGTCTCATTTGATAGAATGAAAGATATATTACAAAAATAGAGATGATTTTGATTGGCTTTAGTACTGGAAATGGCTTGAAACTGAGCTCAAAGTAGCAGAAATGTTAAATTTTTGCCGATGTTCAAGAGTAAACAAATGACCTCACACGTCTAATACACGCCAGCTGGTGGGTCTGATATACGTTCACAAATGTGGTGATATTATTTATACAATTATTACAATATTGCATAACAGTAAATCTTCTATTTTTTGGTTTGAATAAAAATTCATTGTGTGAATAAAAAATAAAAATGGAATTCATTTGAAAAGCCTGAAAACATAACTAATGAGCATAGGAAATGTTAGTTTAGTGCCAGGAATGCCTACATTGTTTATTCTGGACCTTATTTTGAAATTGGAATATTTTGAACTTTGCATTAGATTCACCAACTTGCCAATTTCCGATCAGTTTATTTTGTAGTTGAAACAGTTGACTTGGCGATTTCTTGTGCTCAATGAATAGAATAGAATAGAAGTAATACAGTACTAGTGAAATAGCTAAGAATTTGGTCGACTCTAATAATGTAATTGGCCTAAAATGGTAGTCAAAGTCAGCAAAATCACTGATGTGTAAATATCGCGGAGACATCAAAATTCGCAAGAGCATAATTTCGTCTTATGACTTTCGTTTTATGACTTTCATGGAGGATCTTCTGATGGTCCCCAGTTAGGGCTGTTATTTTGTCTCCTTATGCCTGACTCTGTTCTGCTGCTTCTTTGTACGTTATTATTGTTTAGCAATTCGTTCATCATATTGTTCAAGCAAGCTGTTTTGATTGCCTTCTTGGTCAAGAAGATAGATTATTTGAGGATGTTTAGTCAGTCACAGTTTGTCTAAATAGAATCTAGTCTTGTTGAGACATAATGAACAACTTTGAGCACATACACACATTCTCACACACATGCTTGTATATGTTAGTATTATTTTATAGTAATTGATAACAGCGTACCAGACGGTACTTAAGAGCCATACTGATATGAAATGTGCCCTCAGCACTATACTACTATATGTACAATTTAACTTTGCACTACAAGAGAAGTGTAGGAGTTTATATCCTAAATTATATCAAATTTATTTTGATTTTGTCCATCTAGACAACTTTGTTAATAAACCTCTCAATTTTTATTTCATTAGTATCCTATCAGTTGCAGTCCTAAAGCACTATTATAATTTATCATAATTTTAAGGATAACTGGACCAGAATACTTTCTGACACTGTTACAAAACCAGGAACAGGCTAGATGCTCGACGGGGATCAATAAGTTAACCTTCTAGTATTCTCTGGGGATGTCTGTAATTTATAGATATCGCATTTTGTAACATATCTGTGATACAGGTTCATTATGTACACTGACTAGTAACAGATCATTAACATACAGTAATACCATTCTTTGTAGTTTAATGATATTGGATATTATATTTTCAGTGAGTTTGAGAGTGTACTGAAGGCCATCAAGTGGCCCTTCACCAGCTCAAATGAGAGTGTACACCAGCCCCCTGCCTCACAGGAGTCTATCCAGCGACTGTGTACCCTCACTCAGTACTTTCTGCAGCTCTCTTTACCAGGTGTGCCAACCACAGTGAAATAAAAATTACCAACCGTTTTTACAAAAAAATTTCATTGTATACAGCACTTTTCAGTAAAGGTTTGATAAATACAGGTCTCCATAAAGTGAATATCGGTTAAAGCTGACAAGAAATATGACCAGACAAAGGCTCAACATGTACATTTATAGGGTGCCTGATTAAAATAGCCCCGAAATGGACCAAGTCCACTTAATCGAATGGCTACCTGGTCTGGTCTGGTCGTACTTTCAATAAAATGGACTGGCACCACTTAATGGCAGGTTCACACAACCCTAGGTTAGTCCTGGATGCATCTGTTTTCATTGTAAGAGGGGATGCTGGCCCAGCATCCACATACTCATGCTCACATACTCTCATCTCTTGGGAGGAAAAATCTGTTTGAAGACGATAAATATTAGTCTCCATATTTTTTCACAACTACATTACAAGTGGTGTAATGATAGCTCCTCAGCTGTTATGCAACACTTACTGGTGTGGTGAAAGGAAGGTGGATGAGCCTTGGGCGGTAGTGGATGGTGGGGGGAGTGATGGTGGTGGTGGATGCTGGTAGTGGATGATGGTGGTGGCGTATGCTGGTAGTGGTGGGTGATACTGGTGGATGATGGAGGAGTGAGGGTGGTGGGTGATGGTTGTAGATGATAATGGTGTATGACAATGGGTGAATGAGAAAAGCCACAGGTGGGTGGTAGTAGAGACATGCCTCGTGTGTCCAAGAGGAAATTGTTGCCAAAAGCACATCATTATAAAAACCATATTATTATTATCACTATTATCATTATTGTTATCATCATCATACTCATACTAAAACTGATTTATAGGTGTGAAGCAGGTGTTGTGAATGTTGCAGCAAGGTGGAGGCTTGAGGCAGTAGAGATGTCGTGTTTGAGAGCAATGTGTAGTGTGAGTATTATATAGAGAATTCAAAGTTTGGAGATGAGGAAGAGGAAGAGGTGTTGGTGTTGAGTTACCAGAAGTGTTATTCAGAAGGCTGAGGAGGGGTTGTTGAGGTGGGTTATACATTCAGAGAGATTGGGAGAAATAGGATGACTAGAAGGGAGCATTATTCTATGTAGGGGAGTTGTTGTAGGATTGTTTTTAAATAAGCTTGGATACATCAGCAGTGTGATACTACCCTAGTTTATATAATCATTACATAGCGGAAACATAAGCTAGCTATGTTTATCCTAGGAAAGGATGGAAGGAAAGGGGGAGTAAATGTTTTGAGTGCTAGGGGCTTAGATATCCAACAGGCTTGTGTGAGCATGTTAGCAGTGAGAATTGGCAAGTGATTTTTATGATTTGACCTGCTATTGGAGTGTGAGAAAGGTAACATGCATGAAGGGGTTCAGGAAAACTAATTTGCCAGACTTGAGTCCTGGAGGTAGAGGTACAGTGCCTGCATTCTGAAGAAAGGATGGAGATGTTGTGATTTGGTGGATTATCTGAGCTGTGAGGTCAAGGCCCTAGTCCCAAGACAGTAATTGAATGAGCGACAGCAGAAATGTTCTTCTTAATCAGGCCATCTTACTTTGGTGGGAGATGATTAAAATTCTTAAAGAAATTATCATATTATATCTTTATATCATTATCAGTCATCATGCAGAAGCTCTAAACCTGTAAAGGTCATACAGGATCTGGAGTTTCAGGAGTGGAAATTTTTTTTAACAAGTCTGCCGTCTCCCACCAAGGCAGGGTGACCTAAAAAGAAAGAAAATCCCCAAAAAGAAAATACTTTCATCATTCAACACTTTCACCTCACACATAATCACTGTTTTTGCAGAGGTGCTCAGGATACAACAGTTTAGAAGCATATACTTATATAGATACACAACATATCCCTCCAAACTGCCAATATCCCAAACCCCTCCTTTAAAGTGCAGGCATTGGACTTCCCATTTCCAGGACTCAAATCTGGCTCTATAAAAATAACCGGTTTCCCTGAATCCCTTCACTGAATATTACCCTGCTCACACTCCAACAGCTCGTCAGGTCCCAAATACCATTCATCTCCATTCACTCCTATCTAACATGCTCATGCACGCTTGTTGGAAGTCCAAGCCCCTCGCTCACAAAACCTCCTTTACCCCCTCCCTCCAACCTTTTCGAGGACAACCCCTACCCCGCCTTCCTTCCCCTACAAATTTATACTCTCTCCATGTCATTCTACTTTGATCCATTCTCTCTAAATGACCAAACCACCTCAACAACCCCTCTTCTGCCCTCTGACTAATACTTTTATTAACTCCACACCTTCTCCTAATTTCCACACTCCGAATTTTCTGCATAATATTTACACCACACACTGCCCTTAGACAGGACATCTTCACTGCCTTCAACCATCTCCTCGCTGCAGCATTTACAACCCAAGTTTCACACCCATATAAGAGTGTTGGTACCACTATACTTTCATACATTCCCTTCTTTGCCTCCATAGATAATGTTTTTTGTCTCCACATATACCTCAATGGAAGGAAGGAAGGCGGGGTAGGGGTCGGCCTAGGAAAGGTTGGAGGGAGGGGGTAAAGGAGGTTTTGTGTGCGAGGGGCTTGGACTTCCAGCAGGCATGCGTGAGCGTGTTTGATAGGAGTGAATGGAGACAAATGGTTTTTTAATACTTGACGTGCTGTTGGAGTGTGAGCAAAGTAACATTTATGAAGGGGTTCAGGGAAACCGGCAGGCCGGACTTGAGTCCTGGAGATGGGAAGTACAGTGCCTGCACTCTGAAGGAGGGGTGTTAATGTTGCAGTTTAAAAACTGTAGTGTAAAGCACCCTTCTGGCAAGACAGTGATGGAGTGAATGATGGTGAAAGTTTTTCTTTTTCGGGCCACCCTGCCTTGGTGGGAATCGGCCAGTGTGATAATAAAAAAATAATAAAATATATACCTCAATGCACCACTCAAGTTTTTTCCTTCATCAGTTCTATGATTATTCTCATCCTTCATAAATCCATCCGCTGACACCTCAACTCCCAAATATCTGAAAACATTCACTTCTTCCATACTACTCCACTCCAATTTGATATCCAATTTTTCTTTATCTAAATCATTTGATACCCTCATCACCTTACTCTTTTCTTTGTTCACTTTCAACTTTCTACTTTTGCACACACTCCCAAACTCATCCACTAACCTTCGTAATTTTTCTTTAGAATCTCCCATAAGCACAGTATCATCAGCAAAAAGTAACTGTGTCAATTCCCATTTTGAATTTGATTCCCCATAATTTAATCCCACCCCTCTCCCAAACACCCTAGCATTTACTTCTTTTACAACCCCCATCTATAAATATATTAAACAACCATGGTGACATTACACATCCCTGTCTAAGACCTACTTTTACCGGGAAGTAGTCTCCCTCTCTTCTACACACCCTAACCTGAGCCTCACTATCCTCATAAAAACTCTTAACAGCATTTAGTAACTTACCACCTATTCCATATACTTGTAACATCTGCCACATTGCTCCCCTATCCACTCTATCATATGCCTTTTCTAAATCCATAAATGCAATGAAAACTTCCCTACCTTTATCCAAATACTGTTCACATATATGCTTCAATGTAAACACTTGATCTACACATCTCCTACCCACTCTGAAACCTCCTTGCTCATCCGCAATCCTACATTCTGTCTTACCTCTAATTCTTTCAATAATAGCCCTAGTGTATACTTTACCTGGTATACTCATTAAACTAATTCCTCTATAATTTTTACAGTCCCTCTTGTCCCCCTTCCGTTTATATAAAGGGACTATACATGCTCTCTGCCAATTCCTAGGTACCTTCCCCTCTTTCATACATTTATTATACAAAAATACCAACCACTTTAACACTATGGAAAGTTATCAGTTTTAATTGCTAGACTAAAAGCTGATTACATCTCTCCAGTTTTTTGGTCTTTATGAATCAGTACAGAGGGCTGAATCAGAAACATAAAGGCTGAGCATGGCAGGTTCTCCTCCTTCCTCATCAACTTTAACACTCACTGCCAGCAATTTTGAAAAAACAATAAAAAAAAGTTTTCCTACCAAAAAATTTTCCCTGAAATCTGATTATTACTTATGGAGATGTGAAGGTTTGATGGTGATGTTTGTGATTGTTTTAAGGTGAAGGTTTGATGGTGATGTTGGTGATTGTTTTAAGGTGAAGGTTTGATGGTGATGTTGGTGATTGTTTTAAGGTAACGAGTGCTTGCCGTTTAAAGAAATTTGATATTTTTAACATTTCAATTTTTTTTCCAGTTTTTCTAATTTTTTATTGATTGTATTTTTTACACCTGCATCTGTTTTCATTTCATATTTCACTTATATTTATTGTTTAATTGCACTAAATAAAAGTAAACACATATAAATGATATTTACTGGCACCCACAATGCCCTGCACACAAAATTTTTTTTATACTGAACACTCCATTGGAGCTGACCTGTTTTCTCTTATGTCTTAACCAGTCCAGTCAGGAACTTTTTGGGAGGTTGTAAATTTTGGCATAAATTTACAGTAATGGTTTTTTCCCAGTTAGCATATATTTAGGTCAAAGCCGTTTCTCAGTTGTCGTAAATTTATATCATTGGCACCTTGAGGGTTAATGGAGTTTCAGGCAAAGGGATAATGTATAACACAGTATGGTATATTGGATATTCGGATTTACTTACTTTATAATGTAGCATGTCTATCTAACCATCCATATTTTACAGATGCTATTGCCAGTGAAAATTCTAGGAAATCAGACTCTCCAGCTGCCTCTCCAGCTATTGCTATGGACTTTGAAACTTCTGTGCTACCAATACATCTTTTGGTCAGACCACTGGAGGTGTGTATGATGGATTTTGTACAGGTTTGAAATATGTTATCTCTTTGTATTATTGGTCAAGAATTTTCATCTTGACCAACAATGGAATCCCTGAATGGAATCCCTGAGTCAAAGAATAGAAAAATAAGAATTGTAAGATTCCTCAGACTTATTAAGGCAGTCCAGATCCTCCAAACAAGATAAATGTTCCTGTAGCATATGGGTGGCTCTAGCCAGCGTTACCCTAAACTTGTCGATGTCCTTGAGAGATTTCAAAGGAAGAGGTCCACCTGATGAAGGCCCAGGAACCCCAGAGAGTCTAACAGCAGAGAGAGACCTGTAGAGTCCTTATCAAAAGTTGATGGGCCCTGGAGATTCCTCTGGAAAGGAGCAGTCAGGCAAGCCTGCTGAGAAAATCCAGACAGCTACAGATGACCCCATGAGAACCCAGTGGAACCACTTTATGTAAACTCTTCATGGGATTTAGCTTCATCCAGTGAAAAGTCCTTGTCCACAGGAGTGTGCACATTGCATGAACTTTCAGAATCACAAATCTGGTAAGTTAAACAAACAAAATGGGCATCATGAAGGTACAGGAATCCTGAAAGTACAGGAGGATCAGATTTGGATCATGACTTTGATATGGAAAGAGCATAAAAGCTATCCATGGGTGAGAGTGTGAGAGCATCAGAGAGTGTGAGTGTGTGTGTGAGTGTGAAAGAGAGTGAGTGAACTAATTTAGGTAACAGCTCTTAGCTTGTAAATAAAGTTAGGAGCCTTAAATCTAACCTTGTAAAATCCTTTGTGAAAAAAAGTGAGTGTGAAAGTGTGTGAATGTGAGAATGAGAGAGTGTACATGTGAAAAGGGAGTGAGTGAAGCCTCTTCACTTCTTCCTCGGTTGTGTGTACTGTGTCCAACACTTGGTGGTGTACCCCACCTTTCCGTGTTTCTGGAGCCACTTCGGTCTCCTCTGTGAACACTTTGAATCTCATGTTGAGTTCCTCACATACTTCATGGTCGTTTCTTGTTGTCTCTCCTTTCCTTCCTTAGCCTGATTACCTGGTCCTTGACTGTTGTTTTCCTCCTGATGTGGCTGTATAACAGTTTCGGGTCAGATTTGGCTTTCGCTGCTATGTCATTTTCATATTGTTGTTGGGCCTCTCTTCTTATCTGTGCATATTCGTTTCTGGCTCTATGACTGCTCTCCTTATTTCCCTGGGTCCTTTGCCTTCTATATTTCTTCCATTCCCTAGCACACTTGGTTTTTGCCTCCCTGCACCTTTGGGTGAACCATGGGCTCGTCCTGGCTTTTTCATTATTCCTGTTACCCTTGGGTACAAACCTCTCCTCAGCCTCCTTGCACATTGCTGCTACATATTCCATCATCTCATTAACTGGCTTCCCTGCCAGTTCTCTGTCCCACTGAACCCTGTGCAGGAATTTCCTCATTCCCGTGTAGTCCGTGTGTGTGTGTGTGTGTGTGTGTGTGTGTGTGTGTGTGTGTCACTAGCTTGAATGGTTGACAAGAGAAGCTTTGAGCTCTGTTTAGACAGTCCCAGGTTGTGGTTTTGTTCATGAAAGGTGAGAATGGAATATGATCGGATGTGAAGGAGGCAGAACTCTGAGTGTATGTTAAATTGGACCATTACTGAGGCTCAGAGAGCTCATTGTGTGTATATAATGTTGAATATTAAATGATGGACCTCCCAAAGACACAATCACAGAAATCAGTTTAGCCTCCTTAAAAATGTTTATTTTAGATTGTTTCATATTTGAATATACTGTATATTTTTTGGCATGAGACAGTGAGATCATATGCCATTTTTTCCTTTGGTGTTGTGAATTTACTTTATACTATAATTTGTATTGCAGGTTCGCTTCTTTTTCCACTTTAGTGGGAATAAACCAACAAATAGGCGAGAAAATCCCGAGTGGTACTTTACACAAATTCTTAAATGGATCTCTGCCCATGAGAATTTTCTTAAGACACGCATCCAGCCTGTTTTGAATCGCTGTGGCCATCAAAAGACTTCAGCTAAAGTAAGATTTTTCTTTTTTTTGTAATGAATATAAACCAGGGCATGTACATTAATAGTATGCAATACCAACATCATTCACTATGTATATTATTGACCTATATGTTAAATTTACTTTTTTTTTAGCTTTATTCCCAAACACTACGTGAAAGGTCTTACCAGTACTGTGTGAGTCGACATGACTCACGAAATCGTAATGACACGATTGCAAATGCGACGGTCTGGAGCTTTGAGACACACTGACTGCTGGTTCAATCCCGCCCGTGGTATGGACTATGTGAGTCTTTTGGTCATTGTCCACATAGATATCTTTTCATACTAATTATTAATCATGTTGAAGACAACTGGATCTGGATTTGTGATGACACAAGATATCAAATTTGTTTTTGTATTTAACCTTTTGAGGGTTTTGGACGTACTAGTACGGCTTACGCGCAGGGGTTTTTGACGTACTAGTATGCATAAATTCTAGCGCCATCAAATCTCGCAGGAAAAGGCTGGTAGGCCTAGATGTGAGAGAATGGGTCTGTGTGTACGGTAGAAAAAAATCTGGGACCCAGTGGTGCATTGTGAGAACGCCATCTTAGTACACAATGTCCACCATGCCTCGCGGTAAGAAGTTCCTCACTCCTCGGCGAATTGGGACACTTTTGTTCCCCAGTGACAGTTCTAATACAAATGGAAGTGCCAGTGAAGATGAGTTTCAAGGTTTTGGTGAGGTTTTGACCGAAACTAATGACCATAATATTCATAATAGTGAGGAAAACCCAGACGACCCTCAGCCTTCCACCTCTGGTGCTGGGCCGTCTTGTTCACGTTCAGTTGTACCAGAATCAAAGAGGAAACTCCTATCTTCCCAAATCCCAGACTCAGATGTGAGCATTTGTGATGATAGTGATTATGAACTACAAGCTCTTGAAAACAGTTCCAGTAGTGATAGTGAAGTGGAATATTCCCCAGTGAAGCGTCAGTATATACGACGATATATGCGCTCTTGTAGTGTGCCATATGCTATTCCAAGGGGAAGGAGTACAGTGGACCCCTGGTATTCGATATTAATCCGTTCCTGAGAGCTCATTGAATACCGATAATATCGAAAACCGAATCAATTTTCCTCATAAGAAATAATAGAAATCAAATTAATCCGTGCAAGACACCCAAAAGTATGAAAAAAAAAATTTTACTACCTGAAATATTAAGTTTAATGCAATAGAATAATTACAATAACAATAAAATAATTGACACTTACCTTTAATGAAGATCTGGTGATGATTGATGGGATGGGAGGAGGGGAGAGGTGCTAGTGTTTCAAAGTGGAATCCCCTTCCATTAGGACTTGAGGTAGCAAGTCCTTTTCCGGGGTTACTTCCCTTCTTCTTTTAACCCTTTGACTGTCGAAGGGCCAAATCCTGAAGTTGCTTCTGGTGTCGCAAAATATTCGAAAAAAAAAAAAAGATTTTTTCTTATGAAATGATAGAGAATCTTTTCCCGATTGTAAAGACACCAAAAAAACGAAATTTGATGGAAAACTGACGGAATTACGCTCTCGCAAAGTTAGCGACTTCGGCGATATTTAAAAATCGGCAATTTCGCCCACTTTGAGCCCTATTTTCGGCTAATTCCGTTATTCCAGTCAACCAATCTCATAACTATTTCTTCAGAACTATATTTTTTCTATCGATTGAGTACAAGAAACTGCCCATTTACCGATTTCAACTACCCAATAACATGGTCAGAAATTTGCAATTTGGCCAATTTCACGAAAATTAAAAAATATGACAATTTCAAAATAAGGTCCAGAATGAACAATGCAGACATTCCTGGCTCTAAAATAACATTTTCTTTGTTCATCAGTCATGTCTCCAGGTCCCTGTGATATTACTCTTGCTTTTTATTTTGAAATTTTATTCAAACAAAAAATAGAAGATTTACTGTTATGCAGACTACTGCAATACTGTAATAATTGTAAAAATTACATCAACCCATTCATGACTGCGTATTAGAATGGCTATTTGGACATTTATTGGACAATGACATCATTTGTTCACTTTTGAACATTGGCAAAAATCAAACATTTCCTGTACTTTGTGCTCCATTTCCAGGTTCTTTTTATAGTAAAATTAATCAAAATCACCTCCATTTCTATAATATAGTTTCCATTCTATCAAATGAGACCAAGAAAACGAGAATACAACCACAATACTATACGAAAATAGACCACAAAGTCGGCATTTTAATTAAAAAAAACGGTCGGAGTTTTTTTTTTCTCATTATGCACTGCGTGCTCCAGGATTTTTTTTATGTGGTGCACACTGACCACACAGACCCATTCTCTCACATGTGGGCCTACTAGCTTTCTCCTGCCTGATTTGAAGCCGATAGAATTTATGAGTATATATACGTCAAACACGGTACCTCGCAAACGTATATATACGGCCGCGACAGTCAAAGGGTTAATGCCACTAGGGCCAGCTTGAGAGTCACTGGACTTCTGTCGCACAACATAACTGGCAGCCTCACTATGCCTAATCACACTATGTATGCCACTACGATTCTTAAATCTTTCAAACCGACCTTTGCTGGCCTTAAATTCACTCACATCACCACTAGTTGCAGGCAATTTCTTTACCAAATCGTCATGCAACTGCCTAGCCTTTTCACAAATGATCACTTGAGAGATGCTATCTTCTGCTATCTGTTTTTCATTTATCCACACCAGTAACAATCTCTCAACATTTTCTAACACTTGCGGTTGCTGTTTCGTAATCACAGTTGCACCTTTTGCAAGAACAGCTTCCTTGATTGCCGTTTTCCTGGTCACTGTAGTAGAGATGGTTGATTGGGGTTTATTATACAACCTGACCAGCTCCGACACACGCACTCCACTTTCGTACTTTGCAATTATCTCTTCATGGTGACTTATTTTGCAGAAACAAGCACCAAACAGTGATAATATGGATAATATGGAATGTACCGAATGTATCCTTAGATGCGCGCACACTGGCTGGCTTGTAAACACTAGCACACACGGAGCAGTTCAGGCCACATGTGGACAGGTCTCGTACGAATCGTATGGAATACCGAGGAAAATTTTTTGCGTTAAAATGCACCGAAAACCGGATTTATCGAATACCGATGCCATCGAATACCGGGGGTCCATTGTACATCTCGGAGTACATCCCGTGGCTGTACAACAGGAACAGACAGTGAAAATGACGATGATAGTGTTGCAATTGGGATGGAAAATGTGCATGGTGGTGGTAGTGGTGGTGACGGCTGTGAGGCACCAGCAGTGGGCCATGCTGCCACCCACGCTGCCACCCACGCCGCTGCTTCAGCTGATCTACAACAAAGGCCGCCATCCCCCACCCACCCACCACACCAGCCTCCACAACCACAACCTCCACAACTACAACCTCCACAACCACAACCACCTATCACTGTCCAGTACCCACCAGCAGACCGCACCTGGGATTTTCAGGAAGCTGTCAATTTTGTTCCAAATCCCCACCAGTTTGATGACACCCAAAGTGGAATACGGCCATCTTGTACACTTGGGAACAATGCCAGTGAACTGGAATGTTTCAAGTTATTCTTTGACAAACCCCTGATCGAAAGTATTGTCATGGAAAGCAACACATACTTCGAGTACACCATGGCAAACACAATACTTTCACCAAAATCATGTCTACACCAGTGGAAGGAGGCAACTGTGGCTGAGATGTATCTTTTCTTTGCCACAATAATGCTTATGCCACATGTGTATAAGCACAAAGTGAAATCATACTGGTCAACAGACCGCCTGATTGCAACCCCAGGTTTCAGTGATATAATGCCAGTGAATCGATTTGTGCTAATGTTACGTGTGCTTCACTTCTCAGACAAAACCAGGCCTGACAGAAACGACAGGTTATATAAGATTAGGCATGTGTTTGTGTATCTGAAAGAAAAATTCACTATGTATTTTCATCCCTTCAGGAAGCTTGTAATTGACGAGTCTTTGATTCTGTTCAAAGGAAGACTCTCTTTCAAGCAGTACATAACAAGCAAGAGGAAATGCTTTGGTATAAAGTTGTTTGTGCTTTGTGATTGTTACAGTGGTCTGGTATTGGATATTATTGTGTACACTGGAAGTTATACATTGCAAAATACCAGGAAGTTATTGGGCATCTCTGGTGATGTGAATAGAAAAATGATAGAATCATACCTTGATAAGGGGCATATATTATATACTGATAACTGGTACACAAGCCCCTCACTCAGTGGTTTTTTGCAAGTGAACATGACAGATGTGTGTGGCACAGTGCGTGCAAATCAGAAACATATGCCCAGGTTTGACGCTGGCACTCGTAGAGGTGAGGTGCAGGCGTTTGCTGCCAATGACATCATGGCATTTCAGTGGCATGACAAACGAGATGTCACACTGTTGTCATCAGTTCACCCTAATGAAATGGTAGACACTGGCAGGCACCATAGAGAGAGCAATGAACCCATTCTAAAACCTGCAGCTGTGATTGATTACACCTTCAATATGCGTTCAGTGGACAAATGTGACATGCAGATTGGGTTTGCTGATTGTGTTCGCAAGAGCTATAAGTGGTACATAAAACTCTTTTTCCATCTTCTGGACATTTCCATGCTCAATGCTTATAATATGTATAAGATGAGGACCAGAAACAAACCACAATACGGCGAATTCTGTTTGTCTGTCATCAGACAGAGAATATTCAAGTACCAAGGAAGAACACCTGCAATAGACCGCCCACCAAATTATCAACAACTACCTTCTCGTCTGAAGCATGGTGATCACTTCCTAGTAAAACTGCCTGCTACTGATTTCAAGAAAAAGGCTCAGAAGAGGTGTTACGTCTGTGCACATACAAGGAAACGCCCACAACAACGCAGAGACACTCGTTTTATGTGTGAGGAATGTAAAACACCACTGTGCATGACACCATGTTTCAAAGACTTCCACAGACTGCAGAACTTCTAGAAACATTCCCTGTGACTGTATATGTGTATGTAAAATATAGAAAAATAGTAATAAACAACATTTCATATCGTTTGTTTGTGTAAATATTTTCTATAAACAAAACAATGACAACAGTGTTTACGCCCTTATTGTGTAGTATTGAAAAAGAAAAAAAACTTACAAAATACTGATCATATTGGTCTCACAGGCCATAAAAGTTACTTGGAAAAAGAAAAATTAAAAAATAATAGAAAATAGTACATAAAACAGTAAATAAAAGAATACCGGGAGACGGCAGTCGGCGATGTTGCCACATTGTCCCCCTTTTTCGTCAACTTCACGCCTCCATATCTCGATAAGTATTGATGGTAAAATTTTTTTGTTTATCCTATAATATTTAAAAAAAAAAAAAAACTATTTTTTCATAAGAAAAAATATTTTTTTTTTTTTAAATTTGGCCGACCCTGAGAACGAGTCTCTGAGAAGACCTGTCGACCCTCAAAGGGTTAAGGTGGACTTTGGTTAATGAGTATAGTTTCACCTTGATGCACAAAAAAAAAAAAAAAAAAATAGGACTTGTGCTGTAGGCCTTCAGTTTGTTAAGATTTTTAACCTTTTTTTATAGATTACATATTGAAATCTTGGCCTGTACTTAAGTACCTGATATATAATAGTAAGAGGAAATACCCCGAGACAAAAATGAGGAAGGTTAGTCTAAAATTTGACCACTTGACTTCCCCTTCACCAGTATACCTATTTTGCTGAAGAGAACCTCAGTTGTAGCTTAAAATATTCAGAATATCATTCTTTCTTGTTTTTTGTTTCTTTTTTAGGTTTCTTCTTTCACTGATCAGTGTTCATTATACTTTGTTGTTCCAACTTTGAGTATATATGATAATTAACTTAGTGTTTTACTGTGCTTGGCAGGTGGAATTCATGAGAGGTTTGGTGCGTTTGGTTGTTATCAAGTTGGCTGCTGATCTTCCTGAGGTTCAGTATGATGATGACATATTCTGCTCCACTGTCCAGGAAACCCTTAACTTTGAGCGGGAGATAAGTCTGACATATGGATATCCAGCCTCTCAACCTTCTGTTCTTTCTGTCTTGACCCAGGGCCGCATCTTTGCTTGGTGGATACGTGTTGAGAGGAAGTGTGAGTGTTTTCCTTACATTTATAGTTCTTTTCACATTGCTCCCAGATGTACTCTATCATAATTCTTTTTCCAGATCTTACGACATAACATAAAGGCCCTTTTCCTTAGAGAAATACTGGTTACATTCGTGTTTCATTGTAAACACTTTACAAATCCCCTTCCCTTTAAACAATCCATTGCCTCTGCTGTGCACAAACTGGAAAAATTTAAAAAAAAAAAAAAAAGGTACCATTATATTGCTGTCTCTGCAGATAACTTACAACTTTTGCACTTGAATTTTTCATACCAGTCACAAACAAGGAAAATAGGTTTACAGTTGTGAACTTTTGGCATTTAAATTTAAATGGAAGCAATTGTGGTGGAAGTAAAATCAAACTAGACTTCAATTTGGTAGGTAAGTGTAGTGAGTGTGTGTGCAAATACAAGAGTCATCAGTACAGGTCCTCCATCACAAATCCGGCATCATTGGGACCTGTAGTGTGCCGGATTAGTGAGTTTGACTTACACAAAGTTCATTGAACATCGGCAAAAATCAAACATTTCCGCTACTTTGAGCTCAATTTCAAGGTACTTTTCATCATGAAAGCAATCAAAATCATGTCTATTTCTGTAACATATCTTCCATTCTATCAAATGAGTCCAAAAAATGAGAATACAACCATAAAAACCATACGAAAATATACTGCAAAGAGGCGGCTAATGGATGAGAAGTGAACTCCCTTATTTATCGTCCATCTTTTTTATTTTTGTTGTACGTTAAGAAGCATCTTTCCATCATACATTGCCCAAGTTTCAATGAGATAGCCCAACAAACAACCGAGAAAAAAAAATATTTACCAAAAATCATATAGGGCAAGCCCAAGCCAGGTACTGGAAATAAGTCACATTGTCTGACTTTTCTGGGTTATCCTAGGTTCTCTATACATACACTGCTATGTATGATAATCTATGATAATCTATGTATGATAATCATTAGTCACGGCTACAGGCCCCTCTTATATTACTCTTGCTTACCATTTGGAATTTTTATTCACAAAAAAATAGAAGATTTACTGTTATGCAGACTGCTGCATTTTCGCTACTGTGAGTGGAATTTCAAGGTACTTTTCATCATGAAAGCAATCAAAATCATATCTATTTCTGTAATATATCTTTCATTCTATCAAATGAGACCGAAAAAATGAGAATATAACCATAAAAACCATACAAAAATATACCGCTAAGCGGCCGCTAATGGCTGAGAAGTGAACTCAGCTATTTATGGTCTGATTTCTTTCATTTTTGGCGTACGTTAAGAAGTATCTTTCCATCATACATTGCCCAAGTTTCAGTAAGATAACCTACAAACAACTGAGAAAATAATAATAATATAATAATAGTAATATCTTTATTTACTACACGTACAATGTACACAGGCCTAGCTGACATCAGTGACATACTACTATATAGAAAGACGCTTGTTATGCAGAGTATTTCAAGAAAATTAGGTCAATGTCCCAGGATAACACCCACACCAGTCCACTAACACCCAGGTACCCATTTACTGATGGGTGAACATAGACAATAAGTGTAAAGAAACACGCCTAATGTTTCTACCCAGGCTGGGAATTGAATATTTACCAAAAATCATATATGGCTAACCCAAGCCAGGTACTAGAAATAAGCCACGTTGATTTTTTGGGTTATCCTAGCTTCTCTACACATGTGCTATGTGTGATAATCTATATAGAGAAAATAACTTTTTTGTTTCAGGTTTATGGTGCAGTACGAGTGTATGTCACAGTTAGCCCTGTGCTACACTCCGTTTTCTCTAATATAAGCCCCCAAGACAGGGATAGGAGAATGGTATTTGTATACCATATCCTCTTCATACCTCCGTCGAACTGCTCGGTGTTATGCCAAATATTATTTATTCTGGAGTATTTTACATGTTTTATGTTATTTATATTGTTTATTATGTCATATTAGATCAATTGTGATAGGCAAATAAGCTGTAGTGTTGATATTAGCGTAATAATAAACCATATTCTCCTGCATCATGAGACTGAGCTCATAGCAACCGACAGTGGCTTCCAAGCCACCTTATCTTTAATGGACAATGTACTGTGTCGGTGCTTTACATAATGACAAGCATTTCTTTTATTCATTGGAACTGTTGCTAGGGCTAAAAGTAAGCAGGTTATAACAATAAATGGAGAAAAAGAAATTGGAGTGACTTATGCAGCAAGTAGTGCCACCAAACAGTACCAGCAGGTTGGTGTGGCGACCCTGGAAATTTGAAATTATGCTAGCCAAAATTAGTGCCGAATAACTGAAGGAACCGAATAACTGATTGCCGGATTTGTGATGGCGGACCTGTAGGAGAAAGGAACATATTCAGAGTGAGTTCACAAACTGAGACTTGATAATGGTCCAGAACAGACTGAAACATCATCTAGTTCCCATTTTTAATTTATGTGTCAGTTGCAAATTGTTCCCGCCATGGTATTATGACTTTTTATTTTATTCTTTAATGAACACCTGTTTTACTTCCTTATAGTAGTGACTTCACAGTCAGCAGTTGCTAGCAAGAAAACTACATGTACTATACTCACGTATAATAGCAACTTAATTGTTTTGTCTCATGTATGGCAGTACAGTATATTGAAGTCACTGTATGGATTCTCTACCCAACTTCAGTTGCTTTGGAGTTGATGGATGAGTTGGTGTCAGATGATGGAGCATGGCAGGCAGAAGAGAGTGGTGAGGCAGCACACTGTGGGGAGAGGCTCATCCTGCTCCTGCAAGGAATTACTGACCGATACAAGAGACTTCCTCAGCCTGGACACAGGTAATCGATTTCTTTCTCCTTCTCCACCTTTGTCTTGTACAACATTGTTGATTACTATGTTGTTTTCATTTTTTTGACTTCTTATATTTTTGCAAATTTCTTTGTTTTCTTGCAGTAAATGTAATAATGTTATGCAGTTATGTAATTTTATATACAATGTCCAGTGCCCAAAATGCTATGCACAGCTCTGGACTTTTCCCTGCAAGATGTGCTGTTTATTGTTGACTGAATATTGTAACTTTTATGTATCTTCTTTGAAAATAAAATGATCTTGTCAACACTAGATAATTGATAATGTACTGTATTTCAGGTTACAATTTCTGGAGCTTCAGCTAGAACTTCTTGATGATTTTCGTGTGCGTGTGTTACAGGTGATGAAGAGTGAGAAGCAAGACCCACTCACCTCCCACTACCCAGCCATCCTCAACACTGTTCATTATATCACTGCCACACTTCATGACTGGGCAGACCTGCCTGTATGTTACCTCACTTAAACTGATATTCCACAAATTGTTCTCGGAAAAAAATTAAAGTTGCAATAATTTAACTTTCTGATTTGTCGATATTTGATGAAAAAATACTTCAGAGTCTTCTTCCTGATGTAATGCTTTTGAGCATTCCAAAAGATCTATGTAGGTGAATTATTTCTGAATATTATCACAAAAAGATATTTACATTAAAAGTGAATTAAAAATTATGCAGTTATGCACAGTGACTATTCAAGGAGTTGTATATTGCGGCTTACAAGACTTGTCTTAGTTTCAATGGCTCGGCATCAGATGTAACTGAGAGAGCTGCAGCCCACCCCAGACTTATAGCTCCCATCATTGACCTTTAGTTTATAGGACCCAAGGTAGTTTTTGGAGACATTTTATAGAAAAAAAATGTGTCTAGTAAGTCGTGAAATACGGTACTTGTTTTATCTTGGTGGGTTATCAGTGTGGATGTACTCGTGTTTGTGTGTGTTCCATGCATGTATTGCCTACATGTTAGGCATCTTCAGCCAGATACAAAGAAAAAATATGGAGAAAACAGTAGTAGTGGTGAGGTAGAGTTGGTGTGATTAGTCCATCAACCTTGGAGTTCATGAGGTGGTCAGTCCCTCAACCTGGAGAAGAATTCAGCTCCATAGTCTGGAACAGTGTAAAACTGAAGCATGAGATTGGAGTCTTATACACTCCTGAAGGTGAGACCTTCTACATCTCACCTTTGGCAGTATATGAGATTCTATTCTCATGCTTCAGCTTCACATTGTTCCAGATTATGGAGCTGAACTCTTCTACAGGCTGAGGGACCGACCACCTCAGGAACTCCTTCAAGGTTGATGGACTAATCACATCATCTCTACCTTTCTACTACTGCTGCTGTCTCCATATTTATTCTCTGTATTTGACTGAAGAAGCCTACTATGTAGGTGAAAAATTTCATCACTAATAATACCCTATTGTTGCACGTCTTGCTCATCTACTTGTTGGTATTGTTTACCATTTTTTCATTATACATGCACATATTGCACTTGTGCTGCTGAATAATCAGTGGTCATTTAATATTTTAGGAAGGATCCTGATGTTAACCAGTGGGGGAGTGTTAAATATTGTCACCTCAACTTCATCTAATGCATAGCTCAGGTGCTTACCCCCCCCCCCTCTCTCTCTCTCTCATAAAAAGGGTCTTAAACAATCAAATATTTCAGATTCTTTGTATTCAAGTTCAGTATATAAATATTAGTAAATATATTTATATGAAATTTGTTTTTTAGTTCTTTGTGGAAATGCAGTACTACCAGGAGTGTTTCAGCCGTATTCAGGAGCAGACTAGTGAAGCTCTAGCGAGTTATGACAACACCGTTCTTCCCACAACATCTCCAGATGATCCTGCATCTTTCATCTTTAATTCTCATGATGTTTCTCTTATAAGTACATCTATTTCGCCAGAGTCACTAGCAAGGCAGGTAAGAAAAATATAGGTTCTTGGTTTGTATTATACACTACATATAAATTACAGTTCATATTTTGTCCACATTAGTTTATAGAAGATAGGTTTAGAATTTATTGTATGTGGATGCTTGTAGTATTCATGTTGTCTTTGTGAATTTGTGCAAAAGAGTTCTGTGCAGTTTTTTAATGTTGTGTTTGTTTTTACTTCAGTAACTACAAATAGCAAGCTTCTTGATAATTGTCATTAATTACTAAATTTTAACAATTTCATCAATCTGTATATTAAGTTTTCACCTTTGATAGTCTAAATATTTACAGCTAACCCACACTTGAGAGAGGAAACTTTAGATGACATTTCAGTTTGTCCTGAACTATTATCAAATCTTCATGTATGCTACCAGCCAAAAGACAGGAGAGGAGGAATGGGGAAGGGGGGTAGAATATACTCTAGTAAACATGACCCTAGGCATAAGTCTGGGATATATTCTCAATACTCTCAGATGGGCATGCCTCAGGATTTATTTTTTGTGCATGGGCAATTAACATGTGCAGTTGTTTTCTATTTTCTGAGGAAACTAGTGATAATGTTTATACATAAATTATTTATCTCCCAGGGAGTCACAGGTCTCCACGGATGAGAGTAAATCAGCTATTTTCAGCATGAACATTTCTCATATTCTTTGTTTCATCAGAGTTAAAATGTGAGGAAACTGGGAATAATGTTTTTAGAAAAGCTTTGCATAATTTTTGGCTTTCCTTTGTATGAAATAATATAAACCAATCTCTGTAACACACATGTATCTTCTTGGAAAACAAAAATTATACATGTTTTTATTTATTGATATATTCACATGAATTGTTTATCATCCCAAGAATCATGAATCTCCACAGATGGAAGTAAATCAGTTGCTTTCTGCATCAGTAGGCAAGAGTGTTTTCATATCCTCTTCAGTATCAGGGTTAAAGTATTTCGAACTAGTGATGATGATTTTTTCTTTAACACGTTAGCCATCTCCCACTGAGGCAGGGTGACCCGAAAAAGAAACACTTTCACTATCATTCAAACTATCACTGCACTATCATGCAGATATGACAATTCATATGTCACTCTAAACACCAGATATCCCAAACCCCTTCTTTAGGGTGCAGGCATTGTACTTCCCACCTCCTGGACTCAAGTTTGGCTAACCATTTTCCCAGAATCGCTTCACAAAATATTACCTTGCTCACACTCCAACAGCTCATCAAGTACCAAAAACCATTTGTCTTCACTAACTCCTATCTAACATGCTCACACATGCCTGCTGTATGTCAAAGCTCCTTGCACAGAAAACCTCCTTTACCCCCTTTCTCCATCCTTTCCTAGGATGACCCCTACCCATCCTTCCCTCCACTACAGATTAATATACTCCCCAAGTCATCCTATTTTGCTTCATCCTCTCTGAATGACCAAACCACCTCAACAACCCCTTCTCAGTCCTCTGGATAATACTTTTAGTAACTCTGCACCTCCTCATCTCCAAAATACGATTTCTCTACATAATATTTACGCCACACGTTGCCCTCAGATGACATTTCTACTGCCTCCAGCGTGCTCCTCCTCGCTGCAACATTCACAATCCATGCTTCACATGGGTTGTGAAGCATGGGTTGTATGAAGCATGGATTGTATAAAGCATGGGAATGTATGAGTGTATAGTGTTGGTACCACTATACACTCGTACATTCCCTTCTTTGCCTCAGTGGATAATGTTCTTTATCTCTACAGATAAGTCAGTGCACCACCCACCTTTTTCCCTTCATTAATTCTATGGTTTACCTCATTTTTCATGTACTTAACTGCTGACACATCCACTCCCAAATATCTCAGCACATTCACTTCCTCCAATCTGATATTCAGTTTTTCCTTACCTAACTCAATGGATACCTCATTACTTTACTCTTATCTATGTTCACTTTCAACCTCCTTTCTTTACACACCTTCCCAAACTTATCTACATACCTTTGCAACTTCTCTTCAGAATCTCCCAAAAGCACAGTATCATCAGCAAAAAATAACTCAACTCCCATTTTGTATTCGATCCCTTGTATTTCAATCCCACCCCTCTCCCCACCACCCTAGCATTTACTTCTTGTACAACCCCATCTATAAATATGTTATACAACTATGGTGACATCATGCATCCTTTTCTAAGGCCTACTTTTACTGGAAAGTGAGTTGAGACAAATGTTTTATTTTACGTTTTGACGTGCCGTAGGAGCACGAGCCAGGGAGTATTTATGAATTGATTCAGAGGAACTGGTTAGCTAGGATCAAGTCTTGGAGGTAGAAATTACAGTGCCTACACTCTAAAGGAGGGGTGGGGATGTTGCACTTAAAAGGGTCATCTGAACTGTGATAGTAGCATATTTTTGGCAACAGATTAAATAATGGTGAATGTGCTTCATTTTCTGGGGGAAGGAGTCATAAGTATTTTAGGGCAAGGTTTATGGCTAACTGAAACATCTGAAGTTTCCTTAATGAATTTTAAGTTAGTTGTAATATGTTCCAGCCACTATTAAGTAATTTTTTCTGTTTCTAAATATTGCTCAATTTTCATTTCTAGGTTAGTTTTTCAGTTTTATTTACATCAGCCTTACACAAGTGTGTGCATCACCAAACTATCATTCAGGCACATAATTATAAATTAAACTCTTAATTATATCCTGTCTGTATGTAACATGATCATAGCACTAGTATCAGTATGTACTGTAATTACCATAGTTTTTGTTTGTCTGCACTTTACGTACATAAAGTGCTGTAAGTGTAATTTAACAAAACATTTTAAACAGTTTTAACAAACGTGTTGTTGCTTATTTGGCAGTTGGGTTAATGTGGCCCTACCCTTCATCTCAGCAACTCTAGGACCTTTAGAAACCCTTTAACTTAGCAACCATAGGGTTTTTGCAACCCTCCAATCCAGCAACCCTAGTGTCTTTGCAACCCTTCAGTCCAAGAACCTTAGGGAAGAAATAGATGCTATGTTGTAGGGAAAACTTTATTACTGCTGCAACATTTTGTCCAGGACTTCATCACGCATGGTATATTTGATAAAAGTTCATCCCTGAACAAAATGTTGCAGCAGTGATACAGGATTTCTCCTGCTAAATAATGTCTTATTCTCTGCTTGTGCCATCATGTACCTAGGACCTTTGTAATCCTTCAACCCAACAACACCCCTAATGCTTTGCTACCCTTCATTGACCCCCCAGGCCTAGGGCCTTAGCAATCCTTTAACCCAACAAGAACACAACAGCCTCTCCTCACTTAGCAACGTACTCGTTACTACTGTATAAACATTTAAAAAATATACTAAAAATGCTATAAATGGTGCAGAGGTGACATTAAAAAAATTTCTAAAGATGGTTGACACAAACCCACTACCAGTATAGTATGCTCCACGCTTAACAACCAATTCATTTACCAGCTTACTCTTTGGAATGGAATCACATCATTAAGTGAGGAGAGGCTGTGTAATAATATTTTGAGTATTCCTATCTGTAATTTTGTTCACTTTTTCAGACAAATGTTGTGCTCTCTGCTCATAAGATAGGAAGGGGGACTTTCCTTTAATAAACTATCACTTTGATTGATGATATACTGTACTGAATTATTGGATTTTATTTTTCAGGATGCTCTTGAATCGCTAAACATAAATACAGATGCCCCTACAACATCTCAGATGGCTGAAGTGTCAGGTTCAGTGTTTGATGGAACCATCAGGTTATACACACACATAGAGGGTGAGATGGTTCGTACACTTGCCACCTATGTCTTCACTGAAGTTCGTGCCAGAAGTCAACCATACCGCCAAGACAAATGGTTTCACACCATCATCCCTAGAGCCACAACAGACTTTAACAAAATAAATGAGCTGAGCCCCAGTATCTGCCCCTTATTGGAAGTTCTTGCCAGGCATCTCCATGCTCTCAGAGACATACTAGCAGCCCCACTCTTTATGCAGTTGTGGCAGATTGTGGCAGATACTCTTAATAAAGTAAGATATCAGTGTAACCATGATGTGCTGTTTATTAGATTAGTTTTTTTACTGGACGTAAGGCGTGTAAAATTTTGTTTTGTCTAATGTGTACATTCATACTCACCTATATATATACATTTTTTTTTTTTTCAACAAGTCGGTCGTCTCCCACCGAGGCAGGGTGACCCAAAAAAGAAAGAAAATCCCCAAAAAGAAAATACTTTCATCATCATTCAACACTTTCACCACACTCACACATTATCACTGCTTTTGCAGAGGTGCTCAGAATACAACAGCTTAGAAGCATATACGTATAAAGATACACAACATATCCCTCCAAACTGCCAATATCCCAAACCCCTCCTTTAAAGTGCAGGCATTGTACTTCCCATTTCCAGGATTCAAGTCCGACTATATGAAAATAACCGGTTTCCCTGAATCCCTTCACTAAATATTACCTTGTTCACACTCCAACAGATCGTCAGGTCCCAAGTATCATTCGTCTCCATTCACTCCTATCTAACACGCTCATGCATGCTTGCTGGAAGTTCAAGCCCCTCGCCCACAAAACCTCCTTTACCCCCTACCTCTAAACTTGTCACATCCTACATTCACTCCTAGCTTCATGGGCCCTGTCATACCTGCTCTTAAAACTATGTATGGGGTCAGCCACCACCGCTTCCTTACCAAGATCATTCCACTTCCTGACCACCCTGAAAAAAATATTTTGTGACTCCCTGTGGCTCATCTATGTCCCTGTGTTCCCATTTCTCTCCTCATAAGCATCATCTTTCTGTCTACCCTTTTAAGTCCCCTGAGTATTTTGAATGTTATCATGTCTTATCTGGATTTTCTACCCTCCAATGTCCTTAGATTCAGTTCCGTTAGCCTTTCCTTATAGCTCATGCCCCTTAATTCAGGAACAAACTTTGTTGCATACTTCTGCAATTTATACAGTGTTGTAACATACTTTTTTTTTCAGGTGTGGGTTCCATACTCCAAGACTGGCCTTATTAATGTTGTATAAATTTAGATGACTATTGAGATTCCTGAGGCCACTCTTAGATTTGCTAGATGAGCATTGGCTGCAGAGTTTTTTGTGTGTACTCTACTATATGTGGTTGTAGGGGGGTCTAGTCACAGTTCCTGGTGTCTTTGTTTGCATCCTTGCAAGCATGCTTGTGTATACAGTGCCTGCACTCTGAAGGACATGTGGGATTGTTGCAGTTGAATGATAATCGGATTGTGTTGTCCAAGGCAGAGTAACCTAAAGAAAACACATTCACCTTCATTCATTCAGTCACATTCCCAGAGGTGCTGACATCACTATCAGATTATCTCGTAATTGCAACATCCCCACCCCTCCTCTAGAGTGCAAGCACTGCCCTTCCCCACCTCCAGGACTCAAGTCCAACTGGCTGGTTTCCTGGAATTCCTTCATAAAAGTTACCTTGCTTGCACTTCAACAGTTTGTCCATTAAAACTTACTTGTCTCCATTCACTCCTGTCTAACATGCTCTCACAAGCCTGCTGGATGCTCAGGCTCCCAAAACTCAAAGCCTCTTTTAAACCCCTCCCTCCAGTAATTTCTTGGATGACTCCTTTCCTTCTTACCTTCTACCCTAGATTTATACACTGTTTTTTGTTAAACTATCTGAGTTCATCCCTGCCTTAGGCCTCTGAATTATACCCTTGGTGATTTCACATCACCATTTGCTCTCAAGCCTGAGATCTCTTCTGCCTATAGATGTGCCTGGCAGTGTGGTCATGATACTATAAAGGTATATGGTATTTAACTGCACAAGAACATAGGAAACAGTTATTGAAACTAACATTTCAGGTTTGACATATACTTTATATGAATGAGTGATGAGGTGTGAGAAGGCTCTACCTAGCATGGGTCAGTAAGTCTACTGCAGTGGGTCTACTGTCCTATGCTAGACAAATGCCTAGCATGGATTTCTGGAATACATAGTGTTTATTGCTCTAAAAGCGATGATTATGTTTTATGTTGTGAATACATTATGGACAAATATCATTGATGGATAGGAAGGAGTGTTACTGATAAAGTAACTTTATTAAACAATAAACAAAATATAGTAAATAAATATTTAATTACATATAACTAAATAGAATTTCAAAGAAATTAAGACAATTTTTTGGTGCCAAAAGGGTTTGATTAATTTTTGTTTCCTCCAGTATGTGTATGAGGAAGTGATACTGCAGACCCGGTTCAGTGATGCTGGAGCCACTCAGTTCAAGTTTGATATGACTCGAGGACTCTTTCCCATTTTTGGCGCATTCACGCAGAAACCTGAAAATTTCTTCAGATTGTAAGTTTCTCGCCAAAAATTTGTGAAAGAATGGTAAAAATAATAGATATACTATATGAAGACTAGTATGTCAGATTATAAAGTGTGAATATACAGTGTATGTGAGCAGTCATAGCAAAGATGTTAATGATATACAGTGGACCCCCGGTTAACGATATTTTTTCACTCCAGAAGTATGTTCAGGTGCCAGTACTGACCGAATTTGTTCCCTTAAGGAATATTGTGACGTAGATTAGTCCATTTCAGACCCCCAAACATACACGTACAAACGCACTTACATAAATACACTTACATAATTGGTCTCATTTGGAGGTGATCGTTATGCGGGGGTCCACTGTACTACTAAGTATATTACAACAAATAAGATGAAAATAGTGTTCTAAGAATATGAATACAGTATTTGCAGAGTACAGGAAAATAAGATATAGTTGAACACAGCTATACCTTACATGTTGGAACCAAGAGCTTTCTGTAATATGAAATATAAACAAAAAAGTTCTACAGTATAAAATAAGGGTACTCACCATTGCTTGTAATAGGTGTCTTCTTATAATATTTATTTATGTACATGTGAATAACATCTAACCAGTATAACAAGGTGTAAGAAGTTGAGGGAATGGGAATGAATGTAAATTTTCCAGCCACAAGGGTACAGGTTTCCGGCTTATTAACTTGATATATTGCTGATCAAATATTCACTAAGAGTATATGCTCTGTGTTTTAACTAATGACAGCAGTGTGGACCGCTGAGTATGATTAGGTGTTTCTGATAGACATTTGCAAGACTTCTTAATTTTCAAAATTATAAAAAGTTTAATTTTATTTAAATTGGATAAATTATTTCATTCTCCATGGGGAAGTGGAACAGAGTTCTTCTTCTGTAAGCCATGCATGTCATAAGAGGCAATAAAAATACCAGAAGAAAGGGGCTAGTAACCTCTTCTCTTGTATAAATTACTAAATTTTAAAAGGGAAACTTTCATTTTTCTTTTTAGGTCACCCTGCCTCAGTGGGATACAGCTGGTTTGTTGAAAAAAAAAAACCTGTTTCATTGTCATATCTATATCCTCATCAACTGGTTCCTCTTCATTTTCTCATCAGTTGTCATAGTTGTCACTTGCCACTCTCAGCAGTTGGGTTTTTGATGTCAGCACCAAAACAGTATTTGCATTATTGAGTAGTTAACCCTTAAACTGTCCAAATGTAGATCTACATCCACGTGTGGGGGGGGGGGGGCTCTGAACGTAGATCTACTTTTTTTTTTACGTGATATCAAATGGGGAAAATCAAGGTCGGAGCGAACGTTGATCTACGTTTGGACAATTTAAGGGTTAATAAACAAGCACATCTTTATCATCTTTAAGAAAAAGAGGATAAATAAGTATACAAGATATAATGTAGGGAGTAATGACAGTAGTTTGTTGGACTGTGTATTGGTAGATAAAAGACTGTTGAGTAGGCTTCAGGATGTACATGTTTACAGAAGGGCCACAGATATACCAGATCACTTTCTAGTTGTAGCTACAGTGAGTAAAATGTAGATGGGATACAAGGAAAATAGAAGCAGCAAGTAAGAGAGAGGTGAAGGAGTAGGAACTAAAAGAGGAGGCATTTAGGGTACAATATAAACAACCATTGGAGGATAGATGGGCTAGTGAGAGTATAGGCAGTGGGGTCGAAGATGTATGGGGTAAGTTTAAGAATGTAGTGCTAGTGTTCAGCAGAAGTTTGTGGTTACAGGAAAGTAGGTGTGGGAGAGAAGAAGAGCGATTGGTGGAATGATGATGTAAAGAGAGTAGTAAGGGAGAAAAAGTTGGCATATGAGAGGTTTTTACAAAGTAGAAATGATGCAAGGAGGGAAGAGTATATGGAGAGAAAAGGAGAGGGTAAGAGAGTGGTGAAGCAATCTAAAAAGAGAGCAAATGAGAGAGTGGGTGAGATGTTATCAACAAATTTTGTTGAAAATAAGAAAAACTTTTGGAGTGAGGTTAATAAGTTGAGGAAGCCTAGGGAACAAATGGATTTGACAGTTAAAAATAGGAGAGGAGCATTATTAAATGGAGAGTTAGAGGTATTGGGAAGATGGAGGGAATATTTTGAGTAATTGTTAAATGTTGAAGAAGATAGGGAAGCTGTCATTTCGTGTATAGGGCAGGGAGGAATAACATCTTGTAGGAGTAAGGAAGAGCCACTTGCTTGTGAGTGTGGGGGAAGTTCGTGAGGCAGTGGGTAGAATGAAAGGGGGTAAGGCAGCTGGGATTGATGGGATAAAGATGGAAATGTTAAAAACAGGTAGGGATATAGTTTTGGAGTGGTTGGTGCTGTTATTTAATAAATGTATGGAAGAGGGTAAGGTACCTAGGGATTGGCAGAGAGCATGCATAGTTCCTTTGTAGAAAGGCAAAGGGGATAAAAGAGAGTGCAAAAATTATAGGGGAAGAAGTCTGTTGAGTATATCTGGTAAAGTGTATGGTAGAGTTATTATTGAAAGAATTAAGAGTAAGATGGAGAGTAGGATAGCAGACGAACAAGGAGGCTTTAGGAAAGGTAGGGGGTGTGTAGACCAAGTGTTTACAGTGAAACATGTAGGTGAACAGTATTTAGATAAGAGTAAAGAGGTTTTTGTGGCATTTATGGATTTGAAAAAGGCATATGACAGTGTGGATAGTGGGGCAATGTGGCAGATGTTGCAGATATATAGTATAAGAGGTAGGTTACTGAAAGCAGTGAAGAGTTTTTATGAGGATAGTGAGGCTAGGGTTAGAGTATGTAGGAGAGAGGGAAATTATTTCCCAGTAAAAGTAGGCCTTAGACAAGGATGTGAGATGTCACCATGGTTGTTCAATATATTTATAGATGGGGTTGTACAAGAAGTGAATGCGAGGGTCTTGGCAAGAGGTGTGGAGTTAAAAGATAAAGAATCAAACACAAAGTGGGAGTTGTCACAGTTGCTCTTTGCTGATGACACTGTGCTTTTGGGAGATTCTGAAGAGAAGTTGCAGAGGTTGGTGGATGAATTTGGTAGGGTATGTAAGAGAAGAAAATTAAAAGAGAATATAGGGAAGAATAAGGTTGAGGATAAAAAGATTAGGTGATGAAAGACTGGATATCAGATTGGAGGGAGAGAGTATGAAGGGAGGTAAATGTATTCAGATATTTAGGAGTGGACATGTCAGCAGATGGGTCTATGAAGGATGAGGTGAATCATAGAATTGATGAGGGGAAAAGGGTGAGTGGTGCACTTAGGAGTCTGTGGAAACAAAGAACTTTGTGGAAGCAAAGAGGGAAATGTATGAGAATATAGTTGTACCAACACTCTTGTATGGGTGTGAAGCATGGCTGATGAATGTTGCAATGAGGAGAAGGCTGGAGGCAGTGGAGATGTCATGTCTGAGGGCAATGTGTGGTGTGAATATAATGCATAGAATTTGTAGTTTGGAAATTAGGAGAAGGTGTGGGATTACCAAAACTATTATCCAGAGGGCTGAGGAGTGGTTGTTGAGGTGGTTCGGACATGTAGAGAGAATGGAACAAAACAGAATGATTTCGAGGGTGTATAAATCTGTAGTGGAGGGAAGGCGGGGTAGGGGTCGGCCTAAAAAGGGTTGGAGAAAGGGGGTTGGACTTCCAGCAAGCATGCGTGAGTGTATTTGATAGCAGTGAATGAAGACTAATGGTTTTTAATACTTGACATATTGTTGGAGTGTGAACAAAGTAGCATTTATGAAGGGATTCAGGGAAACCGGCAGGCTGGACTTGAGTCCTGGAGATGGGAAGTACAGTGTCTGCACTCTGAAGGAGGGGTGTTAATATTGCAGTTTTATAATTGTAGTGTAAAGCACCCCTCTGGCAAGACAGTGAGTAGTGTATATTGTCATTAAGGCTGCCAAACTGCAGATCTCTAAAAATTCCAGAGAACCTTCACTGCCTGCATATATTCAGTCATGCAGATTAATTATTAAGAATGCATTTAATCCTTCAAACTGTACTCCTTGGAATGTTGGTGAGAAAAAAAAAATCATAATATACACCTGGAATATTCAGGAGATTGCTCTTAAATCTAAACTCTGATATTATTCCCTTGAAAAACAAGATGCTCGGCAGCTGTACTCCCAATGAAAAGCAGGGTTGCTATGAATATACTAAGAGATAACTCATTAAGTGTGTAAGAAATTGAAATTTCAAAATATTCTTTCATACATAGATATTTACAAACAGACACCTAGCTATTTTTAAGAGGGAACTAAAATTCCTCAAGTTGGTTCCTGATCAGCTGTTGTAGTGCTTGCTTGGGACTTGTATGGCTAACCAACAGCTTGGTTAATCATCATTCATGAGGCCTGGTCTGGGACTTGGTTATCAGGGCTGTGACCCCCTTGTTGCCCCTGGGTCATCTTCTAGTACTCTTCAGTAATGGTCACATGTTAATTTATGTCATGAGGGCAAGACTGAGAGCATGACTTCTCGATACATTAATGTTCTAGTTTATGCAGCAGAAATTTTTTAATGTTAAAAGACCCATTGCATATTACTTTCTAGAGATGAACACACAATATTACTTCATCATTCTTAGTATGAAATCAAACTGGCAAGGGTTAAGAATGTTATATTTGGTTATAACTGCATTCACTTGTTTACATATTATTTGTTCAAAAGTTTTAGAAAATGATGATGACAAATTGATTTCTGATGAGTAACCACTTATCTGGATTGACACAACCTTTGCAAACTTGAGTATGTTAGGGAAAGTTTTCATTTCTGTTGATTTGTTGGACAAAACTGCAGAGGTAGGGAGTAACACACGAGCAACTTTTATATATGAATGGTAGGACATTAGCTTTGCTTCTTGAATTTTGTGATTGTTATTGAAATAACCTCTGTAAAATTAGTTGGGAATAGGTATAATGAGCTTAGTGTCATCTCTCAGATCTTCTCTAACTTGGGCATGGAAGTTTGGGATTTTACTGGCTAGGTTTGATTCTATAACAAAATTTTAAAGATGGAACAGGCGAGTCAAATTATAAGACTCGCACTTTACATACAAAAATGCAGTATTTTACAGCTTATTTTTTTCCTTTCCAGAGTGAAGGAGTCTGTGATACTGCTAACACTACCGCATCCAACAGCCTTCCTCTTGCGCGACACTATTCGCATGTGGCAAGATGATCAGGATTCTTTCAGCTTGGTTGTTTCACCGGTCAAGGCCTTGGCTGAACACAGTGTTGTGCTGCTTAGGCCAAAGGAAGCAGACACAGTTTTAAACATCAGAATATATGATCGAGACTGATTGTCTAGCCTATTGAAAGGTTCTTAAAAATATTCAATAGTCTTGTGTTTACTTTTTACTTTTTAAATAATTAGCACATTACATCTAGCATCCATCAGGGAGGCAAGATTATTTTTGTATAAAGTATGTATGTAAAACAAATTCCAATTTAGAAAAGCTTGGAGGAGGTACTTGTTTTAAAATTTTTTTTTTTTTTAAGCAAGAATTGTGTCCATAACATTTTCTAATTATTGTAACCCAAATATTAAATGCTTGAGCAAATATCATGACTTCTTATTTATGCACACAAATTTTTTTTTTCTTGAATTAGAGCAAAATAAATAATATACAGTACACCCCCGGTTTTTGTCCTTAACCCTTAAACTGTCCGAACATAGATCTACGTCCGATTTTACATGCTTTCAAATGGAGAAAATCAAGGTCGGATCGCTACACACGTCAACGTAGATCTATGTTTGGACAGTTTAAGGGTTACTCTGTTCCAGGTCATCCAAAATGGATGAAAATCGAAGTAATATTTCCAAAGAGAATTATTATTATAATCAAAAAGAAGCGCTAAGCCACAAGGGCTATATAGCTTCCCATGAGAAATAACGTAAATCCAATTAATCTCTTCCCTGTGGTTGTCCATCAACTCTACCACATCCTGGCCACTCACATCCAACCCCATGGATTTCCCCAAAGCCACAATAGATTCCACAACAGGAGTAGGGTTGTCAAGCTTACACTAACTTATATTAAGTTAGTAATAGAACCAGGCATTATTATAATCAAAATGAAAGAACTAGGCAGTAAAAAACAAAGTAAAATACATACACAGTACATTCATTACTTACCTTAAAATATTTGTAGTCTTAATGTAGGGCGAGAGGTGAGTAGTATTTATTTGTAGTCCCAGGAGGATGTAGTCCATCTGCCTGGGCTATATCTACTGGCTACATGCACTGCGGCCCACAGCCACATTACGAATTATAAACAAAAGCGGAGTGGGGGAGTGATTGAGCCAGATGCAGATTCATACAGCTTTTTCTAACACTGGACCAGGGAAAACAGTGTTTTCCCTTCAACGACTCGCCCCTCTATAGCATATAAACATTGCATGTTTATATGCTATGTAACGTGTTTCTTACATAATTTTGAAGAAAATTTAGATGGGTTAATGAAAATTTCTATAGTAACATAAAATAAGACATTTAATATGCCCAAGAGTGATTATTATGTATTAGTATTATAACTACAGCGTTAAGACTAGAGGGACACTCTTAGTGAACGAGTAACAAAGGCATGTTTATATGCTATGTAATGTGTTTCTTATATAATTTTGAAGAAAATATCATAGATGGATTAATGAAAATGTCTATATTAACCTAAAATAAGACATTTAATGTGCCCAAGAGTGAGTTACAAACGTATGAGTGGCCCAAGTGCATGCATCTGGTACCGAGGATTTCCGAGCGGATGTACCAAACCTGAATTATACGATTTCCGCACCGTACGAAAACCGGGGTTCCACCGTACATGCAAAATAACCACAGGGAAAGTCAAATGATAGCTCTAGGCCTTTTGTATTGCAATCAATACATCAGAAGTTTGCAATGTTGCAGAAATGAGTAGGAAGTCCAGGTAGACCCATTCAAGGAAGCTTTCAACTCCTCCCAATGGTTTTGTATCTGGTATTGATTGTTTGCAATTTTTGCATATATAATAATATTTTTTTAACAAACTGGCCATATCCCACTGAGGCAGGGTGACTATTAATACAGTGGACCCCCGCATAACGATGGCATCGCATAGCGATTTTTCCGCATAACGATTACTTTTATCGCAAAATTTTTGCCCCGCATACCGATTAAAAACCCGCATACCGATTTTCGTCCGAGACGCGTCCAATGTGCCCTCAGCCAGCCTCACATGTGCCGCTCCGTCCCATTGTTTACCAGCCAGCCTCCGCGGTAACATCCAAGCATACACTCGGAATATTTCGTATTATTACAGTATTTTCGGTGCTGTTTCTGGAAAATAAGTGACCATGGGCCCCAAGAAAGCTTCTAGTGCCAACCCTACACCTCAAAGGGTAAGAATTACTATAGAGATGAAGAAAGAGATAATTGATAAGTATGAAAGTGGAGTGCGTATAGCCGACCTAGTCAAGCTGTACAAGAAACCCCAATCAACCATCGCTACTATTGTGGGCACCAGAAAGACAATCAAGGAAGCTGTTCTTGCCAAAGGTTCAACTGTGTTTTCGAAACAAAGATCGCAATTGATGGAAGATGTTGAGAGACTCTTATTGGTGTGGATAAATGAAAAACAGATAGCAGGAGATAGCGTCTCTCAAGCGATCATATGTGAAAAGGCTAGGAAGTTGCATGACGATTTAATTAAAAAAATGCCTGCAACTAGTGATGATGTGAGTGAATTTAAGGCCAGCAAAGGTTGGTTTGAGAGATTTAAGAAGCGTAGTGGCATCCATAGTGTGATAAGGCATGGTGAGGCTGCCAGTTCGGACCACAAAGCGGCTGAAAAATATGTGCAGGAATTCAAGGAGTACATAGAAACTGAAGGACTGAAACCTGAACAAGTGTTTAATTGTGATGAAACAGGCCTGTTCTGGAAGAAAATGCCAAGCAGGACCTACATTACTCAGGAGGAAAAGGCACTCCCAGGACATAAGCCTATGAAAGACAGGCTTACTTTGTTGATGTGTGCCAATGCTACTGGTGATTGCAAAGTGAAGCCTTTATTAGTGTATCACTCTGAAACTCCCAGAGCGTTCAGGCAAAAGAATGTCCTCAAGGATAATTTGTGTGTGCTGTGGAGGGCAAACAGTAAGGCATGGGTCACTAGGGAATTTTTCTATAACTGGTTACACCATGCATTTGCCCCCAATGTGAAAAATTACCTAACTGAAAAGAAATTAGAACTTAAGTGCCTCCTGGTGTTAGACAATGCCCCTGGTCATCCTACAGACGTGTCAGAGCGACTTTATGGGGACATGAGCTTCATTAAGGTGAAGTTTTTGCCTCCTAATACCACTCCTCTCCTGCAGCCCATGGACCAGCAGGTTATTTCCAACTTCAAGAAACTGTACACAAAAGCTCTGTTTGAAAGGTGCTTTGTAATGACCTCAGAAACTCAACTGACTCTAAGAGAGTTTTGGAGAGATCACTTTAATATCCTCAATTGTGTAAACCTTATAGGTAAGGCTTGGGAGGAAGTGACAAAGAGGACCTTGAACTCTGCTTGGAAGAAACTGTGGCCAGAATGTGTAGACAAAAGGGATTTTGAAGGGTTTGAGGCTAACCCTGAGAATCCTGTGCCAGTTGAGGAATCCATTGTGGCATTGGGAAAGTCCTTGGGGTTGGAGGTTAGTGGGGAGGATGTGGAAGAGTTGGTGGAGGAGGACAATGAAGAACTAACCACTGATGAGCTGCTAGATCAACTTCAACAGCAAGAGGCCACACCTGAGGAAATTGCTTCGGAGGAGGGGAGAGAGAAATTGAAGAAGTTGCCTACTTCAAAGATTAAGGAAATCTGTGCAAAGTGGCTTGAAGTGCAAACCTTCATGGATGAAAATCACCCTCACACAGCTATTGCAAGCCGTGCTGGTGATTATTACACTGACAATGTTGTGAAACACTTTAGGCAAGTCATAAAGGAACGAGAGGTACAGGCCACTATGGACAGATATCTTGTGCGAAAGAAGTCCAGTGACTCTGAAGCTGGCCCTAGTGGCATTAAAAGAAGAAGGGAAGTAACCCCAGAAAAGGACTTACTACCTCAAGTCCTAATGGAAGGGGATTCCCCTTCTAAACACTAACACACTCTCTCCCCTCCTCCCATCCCATCAATCATCACCAGATCTTCAATAAAAGTAAGTGTCATTTAATTGTGCATGCCTTTTTCAGTTTGTGTGTATTAAAATTAACATTTCATGTGGTAAAAAAAATTTTTTTTCATACTTTTGGGCGTCTTGCACGGATTAATTTTATTTCCATTATTTCTTATGGGGAAAATTGATTCGCATAACGATTATTTCGCATAACGATGAGCCCTCTTGCACGGATTAAAATCGTTAACCGGGGGTCCACTGTATATGTAATATGAAAAAACATATTAATAACTATACAGTGGTCCCTCGTTTTTCGTAATTAATCCGTTCCTGGAGCCGTTACTATAAACGAAATTTACGATTTGCGAATCAATTTTCCCCATAAGAAATAATGTAAATACAATTAATCCGTTCCTGACACCCAGAAGTATTAAAACAAAAAAAAATAATTTTCCATGAAATATACATATAGTACATAAACAATACAATGGGAAATGATGAATGAAACATTAACAGCATAACACTTACCTTTATTGGAGATTCTTCTTAGTGTATGGGAGACTGGAGGAGGAGAGAGTGGATTGTTTACAGTTTGGAAGGGGAATCCCCTTCCAGCAACACCTCAGGTACCAATTGCTTCTCTTCTCTGTTTCTTAATGCCACTAGGACCACCTTGAGAGTCACTCTAGTCCTGTCTCGCAAAGTAACTGTGGAGAGAGCTCTGTTTCTGGCGTCTCTTTAACACTTCCCGAAAATTGCCCAAGACTTTGTCACTGTACATATTTCTCACCTTCTTTACCACAGGCTTGGCACTAGAAGATTTCTTTGGAGCCATGGTAGCTTATTTAGTAATTGGAAGCACTAAAATGAGTGGAATATTATGAAATATTTCATAGGAGCACTTGAGGGGACCTTCACTCACTGGTAAACAATGCCAGACTGGCTGGGTAGGGAGGCCGCCCCGGCTCACACCGTGCGTACGCGTCCCGGACGAACTACTATTCGCAAGTCAACCTATGAAAAGCGAGTCCATGTTTATATGAAAATACCCCTATGATTGGTGAAATTTACGATTGCCGAGAACTACGAAAAGAGAGGGACCACTGTATATGCAAATATTGCAAACAAGCAATGCCAGATACAAAACAACCATGGGGGAGTTGAAAGCTCCCTTGAATGGATCAACATGGACTTCTTACTCATTTCTGCAACATTTTTGCATATACAGTGGACCCCCGGTTTTCATATGGTGCAGAAATCGTACAATTCGGGTTTGGTACATCCGCTCGGAAATCGTCGGTACCAGATGCGTGCACTCTTGGGCACATTAATGTCTTATTTTAGGTTAATATAGACATTTTCATTAATCCATCTATGATATTTTCTTCAAGATTATATAAGAAACACATTACATAGCATATAAACATGCCT